CACAACTTTAGCAGTCACTATTCTTGAGCTCTCGCTCTGGCAGGGAATTCACCAGGGCACCGCCCAAGTGGCCCATGGCATCTACAACGCCGCGCCCGCCTTCCCCTCACCAGCGTCATCAGCGCGGGTCTCTTTTTTTGCTTGCAGGTCCCGCAACGCTCTGGTCTTGCAGGCAAGTCGGTCTTTGGGTTATTCCCAAGAAAGTTCCGATTTGGCCGCTGGCAGCGCTTCAATGGTTTGATACCACGAAGCGTCTGTGCCGCAATGTGTTGCAATGGTGCGCGGTTGCGCCAGGATGTTGTTCCGAACTGCCCACTCTACGGCTCCGCTGTGCCAGCTTGGTTTTGCGCGGCGCCCTTCCCGATGGGAGATTCCATTGTTGTTGCGCGTCGTTGCGCAATTAAGTGCGTTTGGTTGTGTTTCGAGCGGCCTTTTGCTGTCTCAGCGGCGGTTTGGTTGCCCCCCCCCGCTTCCGCCACCCCCAAGTGGAGCTGCATGATACGCTGTTTGCCCGTAGTGGGCTAGGGGGAGAGCAGGCTGCTCTCGTCGCCACGTTGCGTCCGCCTTGCGGTGGCCCACCTGGTACCCCGCCAGGGCTTGGGCGGGGACGCGGGTCGCCTGCGGGCGGCTCATTGGGGGATCCCCACCCATCCTTCCCACGGCCCGGGTGCCCCGCCCGGTGCGTGCGTGGGGGTGGGAGCCGGCCGGGGGAGTGGCGCCCCTCGGCTGGCTTGGGGCGGCCTTGGGGGTGTCGTGATCTGAGCCCTTCGGGGCGGGCGCGGCTTGAAAAACTGGCGGTCGGCAGTGAGGCGTGTTCCCCCCAGCTGTCTTGTCTCATCTGCCTGTCCCAGGGTCAATGTACCGTCGGGACGCCCTTCCCTCAGTGGGGAGGGTAATTGGCCTGCTGCGCCCTGCAGCAGCCCTGCAGGTGGAGGAGGCCGCTCCTCCTTGGGCCTGATGTTCGCTCATCTTGCGAGTTGGGGATCTTGCCTTGAGAGGAGACGCTGCAGAAACGGGAGGAGGAGGGGAAGCAGGAGGGGGAGGAGGCGGAGGAGGCCACACCGGCGGCGCCGAGCGGGTGGCGGCGGAGGCGGCGGCGGCGGCGGGCGGCGGCGGCGGCGGCGGCGGCGCCGGCGCGCTTGATGCGGCGGCCGCGGCGGCGGGCGGAGGAGGAGGAAGGAGGCGGCGGAGGCGGCCGGAGGTGCCTTTGCCTCAGGAGTGGGTTTAGGCACACACGCGGCGGCGGCGGCGGACCCCGGCGGCGCCCGTCATGCGGCCCCGGAGGAGGAAGGAGTAGGAACGGAAGGCAGGGGGCAGGGAGGCCGGAGCAGGAGGAGGAGGAGGAGGAGGAGGAGAGGAGGATGAAGAGGAGCAGGAAGAGGCGGAGGAGGAGGCGGAGGAGGAGGAGGAGGAGGAAGAGGCAGGAGGATGAAATAAGGAAGAAACACAAGAAGGCGGCGGAGGAGACACAGGAGGAGGAGGAGGAGGAGAGGCGGTGGAGGAGGCAGCGGGGCGGAAGGGGAACGAGGAGGAGGAAGAGGAGGAGGAGGACAAGGAAAAGGAGGAGGGAGGAGGGGATGCCGAGCCAGGAGCTCACTGCTGCGTAGGAGGGCATGGCCAGGCAGCACGTGATGCCCTGTATATGTTTTCGTATGCCATCTTCCTCTTCGCCATCCCCCTGTTCTCTCCTCCTCCCTCCTCCTCCTACCCCCTCCTTTCACCCCAGCCTCCTCCTCCTACTCCTCCCCCTTCTCCTTCTTTTCCTCCTCATCCTCCTCCTCCTCCTCCTCTCCTCCTCCTCCTCCTCCTCGGCTCCAGGTTTCGCTCTGCCCCCGCACGGCGCCAGGAGCGCGGGCACCGCGAGCCCCTGCGTGCCCGCCCCCGGGGCGCCCCCCCCCCCAGCGCGGCTGCGGCGCGGAGCCCGCGACCCAAGCGAGCGTTTGGTTACGGCCGCTGCCGCCGGGTTCGTCGGCGAGGACGCGCATCGGCGGGCCGCCGCCGCCGCCGCCGCCGCCGCCGCCGCCGCCGCCGCCGTCGTCGTCGTCGTCGTCGTCGTCGTCGTCGTCGTCGTCGTCGTCGTCGTCGTCGTCGTCGTCGTCGTCGTCGTCGTCGTCGTCGTCGTGGCCGTCGTCGTCGTCGTCGTGATCGTCGTCGTCTTCGTCATCGTCGCATGTAGAGATCCGACGCTCCAACAACAAAAAAACCGTCCGGTTGTCATCCCTCGTCGGCTTTCAACAAAAACGACTCAGGAGGAAGCGCCAGCCCTACAGGGGAAGTGGTCCAGACCTTCGAGGCCCACACATCGAAAACCGGATGTCGGGGCCGCACTTGCTGCGGGCTGTCGCCCTTGTCATTCTAGGCCTCCCAGGTGAGGTCCGAGTGTTTAGAGGGGGTCGGCGGATCGCGCCGCATCGCCGATGCATCGGCGATGCGGCTCGATGTCGAGCCCGATTTTCTCCACGCCGACCTTGCCGATGCATCGGCGGTGAGGCGCGATCCTCGGACCCCATCTACTCGGACCCCACCTGTGAGTCCTCTACTCAGACCCCATCCTCGGACCCCATCTACTCGGTTCGGCGGCGAAGTCTGAACCCTACTCTCGCCGATCAGCGATGCAGGCAACCCGATGGGCGGCGGGGATTGGATCGGGAGCTCGTCGAGCACGTGGCGAAGTCCGAGTCCTACCCCCGCCTCCCATCGACGACGAAACGCACAGCATACGCCTAAACGTCCAGAGATCCGCGCGGCGTTCTCGGATCGGCGCTGGGGCGCCCCTGGCGGCGGCTGCGTCGCCTCCCCTGGTGCGCGGAGCGCGCCAAGGAGGGGGCTCCAGCTCCGATCGAAGAATTCCGCGCGGACCTCCGCGAAAGTGTGTGCGGTTGTGTAGCTCTATGCTCCACTGGAGTCGAGTGCCACTGTTTGCGCCCACCGAGGCCCGAGAGCTCCGGGGCACTGCTCGTGGGGGATAGGCTCGGGGGGGGGGGGCGCATCGACCCCGGGTCTCCCACGAGTCGCCGCCAGCGACCCGACAGCCTGCAGCGCCCCTGGGAGGTCTTGCGCGGAGCTCCTGCTCGGCGCCAGGAGCGGCCCCCCGCAGCCCAGGCGGTGCCTCAGACGCCGCTTCCGCGAGAGGGCTGAGAAGGCGGGAGGATACCAGGGTTCGCGGCCCCGTGACACTCGACGCCACGAGAAAAGAAACACCCCCAAGCGGTGCAATATGAGGGTGTGTCTACACATCATATGAAGCCGTGCTGACCACCCCGCTAAGGTGGGTGTTGACACTGCCCGATGTGTGGTGTCACGTTCACTGGTGCACCTGGCGCACTCGTGCGCGCGTTGCGCATCTGACGCACCTGGCGTGGCTGGCGCATGCGCGAATCGCAGAAGAGCTCGACTGCAGCCCTGGACCCCACCCGACTGCGGCATGCCTCGAGCCAGATCGATGCGTCAGGGCCCGGGGCCAGGAATCACCGAGCGCGCCCCATTTACTTGCAAAGTGCCTACTCGCAAATGTCCGATACACAGATGCCTGCTCCGATGAGATGTATCATAGATCCCCCGCGGCGGATCCAGGCCATTTGCGAGTACGGTAGGCTCGTGTCGTGCCGACTCGGCGACGACCGCGTCGCGGGCGTTCAGAGTTGAACGCTGCCAGCGGTCATTCGTCCAGCTTTGAACGATCTGCGCTTGTGGGGAGCACCGATCGTTCAAGGTTGAGCGATCCACGCGGCGTCAGAAGCCAACGCCCAAGTCGTCACGGCACGAGCCTGCCGCAGTTACTCGTCCGAGTCGAGGAGCGCGCTTCTCCCAGTGGGCGGACACAGGTCCGCCGCGAGCAGACACGCGACGCCAGGGTCTCGGCGTCGCAGGGTCCGCCGCCCCGCGGGGGGCGCCATTGGCACTCGTCGAGCCAGGAGCGCGGGCTGGGCTCGGCGGGGGCCAAGGGTGCCGTCCTCGTCGTCCTCGTCGTCGTCGTCGTCGTCGTCGTCGTCGTCGTCGTCGTCGTCACTGTCAATGTCAATGTCGATGTCGATGTCGATGTCGATGTCGATGTCAATGTCCTCGTCGTCCTCGTCGTCCTCATCGTCCTCGTCCTCGTCCTCGTCGTGCTCGTCGTCGTCCTCGTCCTCGTCGTCGTCGTCGTCGTCGTCAACGTCGTCGTCGTCGTCGACCCTCGCGGGCCGCCCATCGGCGAGGAGCCTCTCCGCCGCCGGCGCCGGCCCGCGCGCCCAGTCGCCGCCGCGCCACGCCCTGGCGCGCGCCGCCAGCGGCCCCAGGCGTGCCGCCGCGGCTGCGGGCGAGACTCTCGGCGTCGCTGGGCTCCCCTCCACACCTCATAATCACTCCTCCTCCTCCTCCTCCTCCTCCTCCTCCTCCTCCTCCCCAGGGAGGTCGAACGCTCGCGCCTCTTCTGCAACCTCGTGATGATACGTGTCGCGTGTACTCTCTCTATGTAGCCATTTTGTTGCCCAGCACCTGCCCGTGGCCGTCTCCAGCTCGGCGGCCCTTCAGTTCCAGCGCCGCGATGCCCGAGCAGCCTACGGCCCCGGCTGCTGTTCCCCTTCCTCCAACGTGGTCTTGAATCCGCGCAAGAAGCGCAGAGGCGAGGACAACAACGGCGCAGACACCGGGGCGGCGGCGGCGGCATCGGCGGACGGGGCAGGAGCTTCGGCGGCGGCGGGGGGAGGCGGGGGTGGCGCCAGGGGCAACAACGCCGCGGCGCTGGTCACGGCGATGGCGCGCTTGGTCCTCACCAACTCCCGCGAGCTGGCAGGTCACCGCAACAGTGTACGACAGGGTGATGGTGCCAGCGGACGGCGGACTGCCCTCTGGTGGAGGCGTGCGTCAAGGCTGGCAAGGCGTACGACGACCGCAGCCAGGAGCTTCGCCAGGCCGTGAAGAACGGGGACGAGGTCGACTGGAAGTCGCGGGTCGGCCCTCACCTCTATATCCTGATTTCGTTCCTGTCAGCGGGCCAGGTGGCGTACGCGGACGAGGAGATGCAGGATCTGGTTCGAGGGACGCTGGCGGAGGTCTCGAAGTTGGAACTCCAAGAGATGGGCCAGCTGGTGCGCGCGTTCAAGCTGAAGGTCCACAAGCCGCAGGAGGGCGTGCAGAAGATGGCGCACTTCACGTGGGCCCTCGACCATTCGCACTGTGCCGCCGACGACCTGAACGCGACCATCCACTCCCTCTTCAAGAATGCAGGCGGCACGAGGTTGACGGGCGCAGCTCCGCGGGGCCCTCTGGAGAGGGAAATCAGCCGCCTGCTGCAGGGCAAGGGCAAGGGCAAGGAAAAGGCGTAGGCTCGCGGTTTCTGGCATCGAGTGAGAGGCTGGCTATGGTTGTGGCGCGTGGCGTAGTCTCGGCTGAGGTTGCCGCCAGAGCGAAGGGCCAGGTGCAGTCTTACGAGTCTTACGAGCATCCCGACCTACCTCACATTCCCATCACCACCCTTCCTCCCGCGAGGCCCTCCTCCGCTCGCCTCTCCTCTGCACGCAAGGGACAGGGCAACGGCGAGGGTCGCTCGAGTTTTGGCTGACAGTTTTGGCCGGTGCCCTTTTTAACCTCCAAGGCGACTGCAAAACGGTACCGCGCCGGTGCCTTTTTTAACCTCCAAGTCGGCTGCAAAAGGGCACCAGGCTCAGTTTTGTTTTTCCCCTCCTGCTCTCCAGGTGCTAACAGTTTTGATGTGATGATCCAGACGTGGGCATCGCGCCCGTCGGCGTGCCTCTCATGGGATAGTGTGCCCTGGAGGGTGTAGGCCAGGGCCAGTGCCTGCCGTGCGGGATTGTGTAGCACCCCGCAAGGCGCATGAGACAATCGTAGGGGGCTGGCCACCCCTTCAGAGTCCGAAGTGGCTGCCCGAGGCTTAGATGCGTAGCCGAGGCCGCAGGGAGATTCCGCGAGATTTGCTGGATTGCTTGCTTGCTCCTCCTCCTCCTCCTCCTCCTCCTCCTCCTCCTCCCCCTCGTCCTCCTCCTCCTCCTTCTGCCCCCCTTCTGAGGTCCTAGCGTCGCTCTGCTGTGCCATAGCGGGCGACGTTTCTCGGCCGACCTGGTGCGAGGTGTTCGAGGTCTTCGGGCGTCCGCTCTGGTGCTCCGCGATGTTCTCGCGGCCTCGGGAGGCGTTGCAGCGGCCGCGCCTCGCCGAGAGCGTTCTGCGGGGGGCGCCCAGAGCAGCCCGAGCGGCCGCCGGAGGCGCAGGTGGTGAACCGAACATCACCAGGGCTGGACGACGCCAACCAGGAGGAGGAGGAGGAGGAGGAGGAGGAGGAGGCGGAGGAGGCGGAGGAGGATAAGGTGGAGGAGGAGGAGGAGGCGGAGGAGGGGGAAGAGGAGGAGGCGGAGGAGGGGGAGGAGGAGGGAGGGGCCTGTTGAGGATGTGTAGGCATGGATGGTGGAATTAGGGGGGTCCAATCGTCGCCCGGCTGGGCGCGCTCGGAAGTTGGTGCGTTGGAATGGGCGGGCTTTGGGGAGCGATTCTCACTTGCCGTTGTCTCAATTTGTCTGGCTCCAGTCAACAGGCCCCCGAGGGGACCGACATCAGGCTCGAGACATGCGCAGAAACCCAGATCATTGGATGCAAATGTTCGTTCGTCCGTTCGCGCTTTTTTCTAGGTAGCCCCCGTCGGTGTCCAGATCGGAAGCGACGATACGTAGTTTGAAGCAAACTTGCAGCGACCGTATTCTAGTCGGACATCCAGAAATTGTGGATCCAATGGTTTCCCGGAATGATGGAAGGGCCAGGGTCCTGGTCGATCTGTTTAGGATGTTCGATGATCGAGAGATCTCGGCATTGTCATGGTCTGGTGGGTGTGCGTCCACCACCCTTGGGCTCACCGTCCTCCCCCGACCTTCTCGCCCCGATGCGAAAAAAGCAGCGCGGACGGTTTTGCAAGTTGATGTCCTCTTTCGTTTTTTATTTATATTTTTTTTCTTATTTTTTTTTTTTTTTTTTTTTTTGTTTTTTTTTTTTTTTTTTTTTATTTTTTTTTTTTTTCTTTATTTTTTTTTTATATTTTTCCCTCCCCCCCCCCCCCCCCCCCCCATACCTTTTTTTCATTTTTTTTTTTTAGCTTTAATTTTTTTGTTTTTTTTTATTTTTTTGTATTTTTTTTTTTTTTTATCTCCATTTTTTTTTTTTTCGTTTTTTTTTTTTTTTTTTTTTTCTTTTTTTTTTTTTTTTTTATTTATTTTTTTTTTTTTTTTTCGAAGCCCTTTGCCAGGCCCAGGGGTGGCCGAATAATGACTCGGGCTGTGGAAGACGATCAGTAAAGAGGAGGCATGTTGCCACATAGCTTCCAGACGGAATGTTCTGAACTGTTTGAACGATGTAAAACAGGTTAGAGCCATGTTAGCACAACTTTAGAACATTCCTCAAACATTACACAAGAACACGCCTGACTCAATGATGGGACTGTTAGAGTGTCCACTGTGATGGCATCCACGAGACTCGGGATTAGAGACTGGGTCCCAGGGAAGAGGATCCCAATCGATCATTCTACCTTGCGTTTCAACCTGCGTGGGTACCCTACTCCTGGCCAGCGGCCGGCAAGGTCATCGTTTTCCTACTCCTTGTTTTGCCGACCGGCGCGGGCTCTCGCACCTCTCCTCCGCACTCGTGGAGTAGATCTTGGCTGTTGCCGGCGCCTGCTTCAAGCAGATGGAGTCCCCCCCACAGGACGCACTGTTGCAAACAGTCGCGCCGAGCAGATGTCCAGAGCCAGACCCTATCTTGCAGCAGGCGGATGTGGCTGGAGTTTCATTGTTGCAGTCCGCTCCAATCTTCTCCCTCGAAAAAGTGTCCAGAGCCAGGCACCCGCTTTCGAAACGCCGAGTAAGAAAAAAACATCACAAGCTAGAAGCCCCAGCCTCGCTGTCGGCCTTGGCATGTCTTCGGGTGCCGATCCGGTATCTCGGAGAGCCCGGGACAAGCAGACGTCGGCCACGCGCAGAGGGGGGCAGGTGGATGGGGGGAAGGCTTTTAAGACGCACCCCTGCTTCTTAGAAGGCGCTGGCCGTCTCTGTGGGCGTGAGGCTGGGGCCTTCAAAAAAGCAGGGTGCTTCTGAGAAGCCTTCTCCCCTCCCCCTGCCCCCCGTGGCGCGTCCCCCCAGAAAGAGCATCCAGGTTGGAGCGCCCGAGCCCCGCACGCCCGAGATGTTGCGGGACGGGGGACGCCCTGCGGGGAGGAAGGGGGAACGAGGAAGAGCGGCAGCCCCGCCTCTGCCTCGGAGGAAAACAAGCGGCATACACATGAACGTTCGCCGCCCCGCGCGGATTTCTTGGATCCGCGTTAGGCCCCGCGGAGCGCGCCAGGGGCGGCACCGGAGCGGAGCACCAAGAAATCCGCGCGGAGCGCCAAAAGTTTATGTTTATGATGTTTTTTTTTTTGTTCTAGTACCCTGTGTTTACAGATTTTCGGGGGGCGACGACGACAGCGGCGGCGGCGACAACGACGCCGACGCTGGCCAGAATCCTCAGGGATGCTTCCGGGTGTTTTTTCGGAAGGCTATCGGAGACCTGTGGAGATGAGTTTGGGAGCCTCTTGGGAGCCTCTTGGGGGCCTCTTCGGTGCCCTGTGACCGATTTTCTTGCGTCAGGTTTGGGTCCTGCTGCAGCGTCGCACCGATCCAGCCAAATTGGTCACACCGCCGCCGATGCCGTCCATGCAACTTGGCAGCCGGCAGCCCGGTCGTGCCTGGCACGAGGGGCGGCAGGAGCATCCGCAGCAGCTGCATCAGCATCGCGGCATTTCGCTGTACCGGTCATGGGTTAAGTCGGGCGTGGGCGTGTCACTCGATAGGAGGAACATTCAGAACAAAACTCAAATAGTCGTGGGACGATTTTTTCCAATTGTATGTTTGACTCTTTCTGAACATATTTTGAGTATTTTTGTTTTTCTTTCAAAATCCGCCCCAGGGAGGACATGCCCGACCTAAGTCATGGGGGATGGGTCGAGGCCTTGGGTCGGGGGCGGCCAAGAGGGGGGTGATGATTGGGCGTGTGTGGATCTCATGGCGGGGGCCACGACATCTCCCCAGGATTTCATGGCGCGTCTTCTTAGTTCAGTTCGTCCCTGGCCCCCCCTTGGGCCGCGCACATGCCGCCGGCCATGATCTGCGCTCCCCCCCTCCTGGACGCCCCCCTCTTGACCGCCCTCGATTTGGGGGTCGACGTCGTGAACAATTCACGACGTCGGCGGTATGGGTACCCTGCTGCATTCTGGCAGCGTTCTCTCGTTTTCTCAGGCCTTCGGTGCGTGGGCAGCATTCGAGTTGGGACGCTGGCTGTTGGAGCACGCCGTCCGCTCGCATCTCCTCCCGAACACCTGCTGGACGCGAGGATTCCCACACGTGCATCGCAGTTCCTGGCGCTGCCGTCTGTGAGCATCCGAGTGATTGAGTTTCAGCCTGTGGCGACTGAGCGACCCCTGGCGGCTCCCCCTTGAAGTGACCAAACGCGATTCCTGGGAGAGGGGTCGGGGGTTGCCTACAAACATTGTTTCGTTGGAAACCGCTCGAGACACCCTCACGATCTGCCCTGAGAGCAGAGGAGGTCCACATCCTCACGATCTGACGTGAAAACAAAGAGAAGTCCAAGCCACCAAACTGGCAAACCGCCTGAGACATCCCCACAGCCTGGCCACAAACGAGCTCATGAAGCGCCCCGTGACCCCACCCCTCTTAGGGTGCTGAAGCCAGCGCCTCGCCTGAGACACCCTCACAAGATGCTTCGAAAGCAGAAAAGCCCAAGCCACCAAACACGCAAACCGTCTGAGACTTCCCCTCAGTCTGGTCGCAAACGAGCCTGTGCAACGCACCCTGACGCCTCCCCCTTGGGGTATTGAAAACAAGCGCCTCACTCGAGATATTCTCATAAGTCGAGTGTGAGGCGAGCCTGACTGAGTGTGATTGGTCTGTGTGAGTGAGTCTGAGTGTGAGGGAGTCTGAGCGTGAGTAACCCTGCATGTGTCTGAGTCTGAGTGTGAGGAATGAGCCACAATGTGAGGGCACTCGAGTCTGAGTGTACCTTTGTATGAGTGCATCTGAGTAGTGCCGAGTCAGAGTCTGAGGGAGTCTGAGTGTGAGTGAGTCAGAGCATGTGTGTTCTGAGTGTGATGAGAGGAGGAGGCGGGAGCGAGTGAGTGAGGCTGGGGCGTCCCAGCAACGACAAGCATCCCAAACAGAAGAGATTGGGAAACAAGCTCTGGCAGTGTTCTTGCGTGTGTCTTGCGTGTCAGCGGCCCCCCCTGCGCAGGATCCAGCGGCAGGCGTCCGCCGGCGGATCCACTCCGCTGGCCGCC